AGGCTGGTGGGCGGCAAGTCACCCTCCGGCGGGTGCTGTGTTGGAAGTTATTACTCGCAAGAAATAAGCGGGCATCTTCACACAAATGAAGTAAGTGCTCACCCTTATCATTACGGGAGCCTACACCGTGCTGACCACCCAGATGCATTTCATTAGTGGATAACTTTCCAACTTGTGCGTTCAGATCCCCAGCCAGCACAACTGTGTCCGTGCTTCTTCTGTGGCGAAGGAGCTGGGTCAGTTGGCGGTAAAGTCGTTCTTTACCGAATCATCGCTACAGTTTGTGGGCGCGTAGGCAGCGATGATGAATAGACACCTATTAGTCCCGCGTGACTTCGAAGCTTTAAACGAGCCAGCCAATCGGACCGCACATAACCGGCTACTGATTGGAATCCAATCAACCAGCAGCTTCAGCCCAGGGACTGAGAGCAATGCCAACACCAGGTTGGCCGGTGCTCGAAGCTGCATCGTCACCGGATAGGCGCAAGGAGAAAATACTGCTTGCGTCACCTGAAGGAGATCGCAGAGTGAACACAGAGCTCGAGTCTTGCAGGCGGGTCTCTGATGAGCAGCAGATATCGATCGAGAGGGTGTCCAATGTTCGGGCAAGTGCTGCCTGTTGACCGAGCTGAAGTAGTGTGCGTACATTGAGGCATCCCAATCTGAAGGAGGATCGAGGGCTCCAAATGGAAGCCGATGAACTGGAATGGACCGCTTGGTTGGACATGGGTTTGTCGACAGGAGAGGGGTGACGCTCCGCGTTAGCATGTGAATTGAAATTAGAAGACAAATGCCTAGCAAAGCATGCTGGGGGAAGGCCAAGAATCGGGCGGTTGAAAACTGGGGGAAGTTGGAACGGGACGGTAAGAGTGAGAAAGCCTAAGAGGGGGAATAAGAAGATGGGAAGGCTTGAGCAGTTGCATCCAAACCCCTATCCACCCTGTCCGATGCAGCAGATAGAACACCGTTGATTATCCTCTGCGGTGGCCAGAGCATCAAGAAATTGTTTGACGAATGATTCATAGTATTGCGTGGGCAGGATAGTGTCAGGTTGCCCAGGCGCTGACAGGAGAACGATTAGGGTTCTCAACCAAAGCTTTTGGTTCAAAAACCTTACCGCAAGGCAGCGGGATTGGCGTTGGGCTACAAGAAGTCCCTATGAAGAAATAAGGTGTCACCCTCATTCCAAACCCCAACATGAAGGACCAGGAGGCTAAATTTGACTAGCCTCTAACCACTGACCAATCTGGTATGAGTGACCCTGAAGGTGCAAAAGCACCACCCAGTACAGCTCAATGGATCGCTGAGGCACACAAATCATCGCTCCACGGTAAGGTCCAGCGTCACTGCAGACGCGCAGAGACCTCATCCGTTAAACCACGAGCGCTAAAGCACCTTCCGAGATGACCAACTTGTCTACTACTTCCAGTGAGCGATCTAGGAGGGTAAGTTCAAGAGCAGCGCCCCGCCAGTCCTGCAGAAAACCTTGCATTTCGATGGTGCGAAGATCATTCCAAACTGGGAGACGGATATCTTCAACCTACACAGAACATTGTGGGCGGCCTGTGAAGAAGCGCAGATTACAGCGATGTTGTCTGCATGCTCCAACTCCCGAAGTCGGTCCCCCGGAAGCAGCTCGGCGCCGCTGCATTCGCAAATCTCCAGAGTACTCTCCAAGAATTCGTCTATAGCGAACTTGAAGAACGGAATGCTGAGCAACCATGTCTTACGCCATTGGTGATACCAAAGAGGGGCAGAAAGTTTGCCTTACACTCGGCTTGACGTTTGAGAGTAGATGGCTTTAAGTAAGGTGCTATACTTCTCGGGCACGCCACTTCTCAGTAGACAACTCCAGAGAGCAGCTCTATCGACTGAGTCAAACCTGGCTCGTATGTCTAAGAAGACAATGATCATTGGCTGGCCAAATATTTGGCGACGCTCGAGTATTTGCTGGAGTCATCATCATCATCAACAGCAGTACATCATCCAGTTGAACTGATGCTTCGCTGCCATACAACCATGAGGACCTATGAAATAAAGAATAAGAGGGAGAGAAGAGGGACTTACAAGAAAATCTTAATGCCCTAAGCAAACATTCAGGGTCAAGGCGCCTACACCTTGTGTTAACAACCTACCGTCACAAACAGCTGGCTATCGTGCAAAGATAAGGCGGCATCGGCGAGACAGCTTCCTTGCGGCTTTCACTGCCACGCGTCCTAATCAGCCATTACCCCGCAGATAACTCAGCACCAAACACACTTTAAACAGGCAATCCGATTAGGAGACGGCAGCAGACGCGCCACTGGTGTTTACTGCGAACCATGTCCTGTAAAGTCTCGAGCTAAGCACAAGGCGAGTCACCTGGACTCCAGCCCGGAAGGCGAGACGGACCAACGGCACCCAGCGACTTCATTTGCCGCTGCCAAGTCAACTCCTGTCCACCTCGAGCCTTGCGCCACCCTACACCTGGCAGACTAAACAAGGCCCTCCATGGTAAGCAGTGACCAGGCATACGTAGCATACGTTGCTGGAGTGTGAAGATGTGATCGATGCAACTCCGACCTGAGCGGAACCCAGCTTGCTCTTTATGTATGCTCTGTTTGCGTACCTGGCTGAGCCTCCTTAGAAGCAGCGCTGCGAGCACCTTGGAGACAACACAGATGAGACTTATCCCTGTGGTTGGCGCAATCAGTTCAGGTACCCATTTTGAAGACGGGTACCATATCCGCTAGGCTCCAAGCAGATAGGATAATTTCAGTGAATCAGATCCCTTAAAGGAAGGGTAACTACGGAACAAGTGATGGGCCGCCACCTTTGGAATGAGGCGGAGGGAGTTCATCTGGTACAGGGGTTTTGTAGCGCTTTAATAAGCGAAGTTCGTAGGCAAACAGCCTCGGATGGTGGTGAGGCCTTTACACATCAGGGGCGCTCTGGGCTCCAGAATGTGAACCCATTGGCGCTGCTGGCCAATTAAACTGCTGTTTAAAGTGCTCGGCCCAACGCTAGAGTCGGCGTTCTTTGACAGTGGATTAGCTGGCCATTCGCTTCGCATACAACTAAAGAAGCTAAACAGACCATTGAGGCCGATTTCGACGAAACACCTGAGCAGCACCCTTGCGGATGCACGCTTTATTTGCTGGTAGCGCCAACATTGTCCAGTTCGTAATTCGATTACGGTTATCTCACCAGATGCGTAAACAGTGCCCATCTGCTCCACAGTTGCAGAAAAAGCCAATGTGCGCGCCCGTACAACTGCCTACTTGCTCATAGGTACTGCTTTGCGGAGACGGTGTTCAACATTCTCTGCAAATGCCGTACATCGGGTCCTTCAATTATCGACCGTACAAATAAGCCAAGCACACTCGACCATGGTGGACGACACGAAATTGTCACTATCGACAGTCTAAAACCGGTGCTTATGGAGGAATCCACGTAGCCTCCACCGTCTAGCAATACTTTGTGCGACGTTAAAACTTGCCGCCCCAGACTTCAGCAGCTAAACAAAATCGAAGCAGCCGCCCCTGCCGGTCTGCAAACATCAGCCATCCCGAAATCACCCCCACCTAACCCGTCGCCACCCACGACCAAGCGTTGTGGTCAGGAGGTTCATAAGCTTGTTCGCTTTCCGAAGTATGCAGTGTAAATACCATAAAGTTAGTAGAGATTTTAGACATTTGCCTCGTTTTTGGCCGAGTGACTTTTCGAGAACAAAATAATCCAAAACTCCCGGATACCTCAAAAAATACGAAAGCCCAAAACATTTAGACAATGTTACACGCAAGCCATGGGTCGTTTTCTTTGGCGGTTTTCTCCGTGAATTTATTCCGTCTCTAGTTGCCACAATCCTCCCCTTCGATAGACCTGTTCTCACTAGCGACGTTCCAGAATAGCCACGGTCAACAAGGAAGCAAAGGTTCTGTGGGCCGAGCGTCGATTTAGCGCAGAGCGGCGTGTGACAGGGGGAGTGGCCACACCTGAGCGCGCTGTTTGCAACTGTGAAGGTTTATGTCATATCGGTCTTTTTGCTGGACTAGCCAGTCAGACGCTCTATCCAACGGCTCCTTGTTATGCCCCCATCCTACGATTAGTTAAACAATAACATACAAGCAGCATAGCAGATTCCGATTTCCGACGAACGCCTCCGACACAAGGATTCCAACACTACATGCGTTTGCACTTCGGATATCGAGGGCTTGCTTTTACAGGCTTCTACCGCGGACTCTGTAGCGTCCGAAAAGATCAGTTGTTTTACGCACAATCTTCTTCTTGTCTTACTGCTCTCACGCTTCGTTCATATTTTCACCCACTCTGCTCCGTTAGTTAGTTGGCGTTCCCTTCTGTCGTACTTCTTCGGTCCACGTATGCTGGTAGCCACTTGTATAATCCCTGCGTTCGAATTCGCTTAACTGCTGATTTTCGCGCTCGATTACCAGCATCGTCTCGGACTACTATTTGCTAGTAGGAAATAGGTAAGTCAGGTTGGATGGCAAGCAGTGGAATAAAACGGGTAGTACGTGGGTGTGCAAAAGTCTGTGATCTACAACAGAGCGTATGCTGGCAAATGTTTCACCTCCAGCAGAGCACCCAAAGACAGCAGATCTAATTAAGGTGATCCGGATTGCCAACGCTGGCTAAGGATTAGAGCACCAAGGCTAAACAGATGACTTTTAGCATACATTTTCAACAGTCTGATGGTTGGAATATGTGTGTCGCAAAAAGACGATGTTTGATGATGCACGTAAGCAAACTTCGTACACGCCTATAGAGATCACTATAATTAGCTGGCGAAAATTCCCCAGAAATACGATTGGGGTGCAGCAAAATGCATGTTAGCAACCAAACGTCCAATATAAAGAAACGCCAGGATGCATTGTGGATGGGTGCAAATAGATATATTCTTCTAAAACCGACATTTATGTAGGTGGCTGAAGTGACCAGAAAGAAAAACAAGTGAGGTGCACTTTAGTAAAATCCATGATTATGGCGAGGAAACAACAAACCTGTTTATACTTGAGTATAAACAGATTTATTCTGTTTAATCGAGCACCCAAGAAATTACGCCGCCGAATAGAAGCGAATTGTTTCGTTGGTCTAGGGTTTTTATTCTAAAAAGTGTGCAGGAGACGCAAATATGTTCAAGCACGTCACTCGTAGACATCGTATTTGTCACACAGATATCGGATGACGTCTTTTGGAGTTCTGAACCGTTCCGAATCAACATCTGGAATTTCGAAATCTGAGACTTTATGGCATTTGTTATGGACGTACTGAATTCCTCTTCAATTGCCATCACAAGTTCTACGTGATCCAAACTATCCATCCCGAAGTCTCTGGAAAAATTTGACTCCAGCGTGAGCTGTCAGATGCGAAATAAATATTGACGGCTTACTTTGTCTGGGTTTATTTTATCATATAACCTTAGAACCAACATAACCCGGTCTTCAATCATTGGTTTTGTCATTGGGGGACCGTGCGCTAACGAACGCTGCGGCATAGAGAATCTACTTAGTACCACGGGAGGAATATTCACAGCCTATGATAATGTGACAAAAAAGGGTAAAACATACTTGTTTAACGAATCGAAAGAACATTCTGTTCATGATAAATCAACAAAGTTTGCTGTCAGGAACCCACCGGCACGTAGTAGGGAAGGCAAGCACGATATCCAACCGCGAACAATGACAAATAAGTCCATGGATCGGACGTGCATAACCTTGACAACGAAGACCTTGATATTTGGCCTCCACAAATAAATTCAGTCACCCCCCTGTTGTTCGCGGTAGCAAAGTTACGTATTTTTATCGTTACGTATTTTATGGTAACATGCATTATGCCAATAGCCGTCAAAATTATGGAAGCCTCATGTTTAAGTTCAACTTCCGTTGGGACCGGAATGATAGGATAATCCCGTAAATGTCCCTTCTTTTATCCACTGTCAGATCGGGAATTGTTAGGTATGCTTGCTTTGTTGAATAGTCCAAAGCACATGCAGCAGCACACCTTGTCCAACCAAATACTGCCGACATTTTCCTGCACAGCATTCACTTCCATGCCGGCTTTTGTGAAGGGTATGCTAAGGAAACAACAGAACGAATGTCAGCTTAATAATGCTAATATCAAGGTGGGAGAAGAAATTTAAAATACATAGGGAAAGTTGAAGTCAAAGTCGATTAGGAGAAGGGGGAGGTTAGGTTCTGCTACCCAAGAGCATCCAACCGACGTTCGAAACCCTCTACCGTAGACTCCCTAACGACGTGCTCCGGAAACCATTTCCAACGTTCAATAGCTTGTCGGGACAAGCGAGTTTCCGTCCTTACCTGGTCAGAAGGCAGTTTGGGCAACTTCAACGGTCGAGCTCGTAGACTAAGCATCTTGGTGGGACTAAATAGCCACGACGTCTGGACCGATCCTACCCGTTAAGAAACGGTAAGTGAGAAGCAAGTCTCCTCTCATTCTGCGGTAGTGCATTCAGTACATACTCAGGCCAAGCAAACGTTCGGAATACCTTTGCCCCCGTGGTTCTTGCTCTAACCTTGCACCCAATTGAAAAACCCTCTCCAGTTCCATTTTGTCCCCTACAAGACAAGGCGGACAATCCTGGATGCAGTGCTCTAAGTGTGGTGCCACAAAAGCTGAGAGCAACTCCAGAAAAATATTGGCCGTTAGGACACTGTAGGAGCGGCGACTAAACCATGTCATACGGAACCCTCTAGAAGCTGCCTTACTCCAGTTGTCTCCAGTATGAAGCAATGCGGTGCGGGTGATACCTAGATCAATTTGCAGCATGACAACTGGGAGTTCACTTCCACCAACTTCATAGAGCGTTCGCGGACTAGCACCTTCAATGCGGAGGACAGAACATTTCGCCTGATTTATAGGCATCAATCATAAGGCGGATCAATCCCAAAGCCTATCCAAGGCACTCTGAAGTGCCTCCGTGCCACCAGGGATTTCCACAATAGTTCAGAGCTTGAGGTAATCAGCAAACAATATTGACGGTACTTCAAGCTCCTGGGGTAGGTCATTGACATAAATTGCGAAAACCAACGGCCCTGGATCCGAGCCCTGCGCAAAGCCACTAAGAACAGCTTATCTAAGCGAAAAGATACACCTCACGCGCAAACACTGTTCTCCCCGCTAGGAAAGCAGAGACCTATTTGAGGGCATCTCCAGGTATCCCATACGATCTCAACTTCACTGAGAGCCCTTGATGTAAGACAGCATCTAGCGGTATCGATAAGTCCACAAAAAGCATGTCGATATTTTGACCGCTGTATGCTGGTTCATCCCAGCTTTCACGAGCTACAAGTAAACTTGTCGGGCATAAAATTCCCTTACGGAATCCTTGCTGTGGCGCACAGAGTAAGTTAAACTTAAGCAGGTGATTCTTTATCGAATCCCTGACAAAGTTTTCAAACCACTTAACTACTAGGCTTCTTGCACTGACAGGCCAGTATTTTTAGGTTATGACCCTGGCTGTGCTTCGCAGAATTCGTTGGGCTGTTGACAGCATAGCGGAAAACCATGTGAGATCCGTAGCATCCAGTTAATCAATAGAAGCGTGTGCTCCCTTTAAAACCAAGTAATCGTCAGCGGTCAGTAACAAACATCTAAGAAGCGCAGTTCTAGCTTCATGTGGACTGGAACGAGGCTATTGTTTGTCCCAATTTTAAGAAAGGTAACGAGCACTTCTCTGATAACTATAGACCGGTGAGTTTGACGGGCATGCTGGTCAAGTTGTCGGAAATTTTGAGAGGGACGCTCTCGAAGGACGCTTGATTGCGTTTGGGTTGCTTACTAGTTCTCAGCACGGCTTTCGTAAGGGCCATTCTGGCCTTACTAACTTGTTAAGAGCTCACGAACCTTGTGCCGAATCCGCTGATTGCGCGAAGGCAGTGGGCCTGCTGTTTATTGACCTTTTCATAGCTATTGACACGGTTACACATTCACGCCCATTGTACAAGCTGAAGTCTAAGGTAATTCTAGACCAGTTTTATGATGAAGTGCAGCTTTCCTAATCGGTAGGGAATTATGTGTGCGGGTAGGTTCCAGCCTATCCTTCTGTAAATGTGTTCTCAGTGGCGTTCCGCAAGGTTTATTCCTTGGCCCCTCCTCACTCTATACTTTAATGACCCACCGGATGAATTGGGTGTGCCATCCCTGATGATTGCGGATGAATCAAATCTCTGGTGCACAGTAGACAATCCGATTGTTTCATTGACTCTAAAGAGTGCTATTTATAAGCTTTGGGATTGGTCCATTTTGTGACAGTTTCCCGTTAATTTGGCGATTTGTTCAGTCTTGCGCGTCGGTCCGAATGACCCGCCGACGCGTTAGTTGATTGACGGCAACGAGGTAACGCAAGTGCAACCCCAATCTGACCTTGGAGTTTTGTTTTCATCAGATTTTAAGTCCAGTGAACACTGAACGACAGCTGCTGGCGAAGGGTTCAACACGTTGTGGATGATCTGCAGGTCATTCGGGATCATGACCACCGAAAGGTTCGTTAGACTATTTTCAGCTTTTGTAAGGCCACACTTGGAATACTGCGTTCAGGCTTGTTCTCCATGCCTGGTTCGTGATAATGTGACTGTTGAACGAGTCCTGTGAGCCGGGACGAAAATGGTGCACGTATTAAAAAGGCTGATATATCCGGAGAGGATAAGTAAGTTGGCCATGTTTTCCATGTATTACAGGCGGCTTATGGCGACCTAGTTCTCCTATACCGTGAGCTGATTGGGCAGATTTGTCCTGATTATACCGGACTAATTCGCCCAAATCCAGCGCCAACCCATCGTGGGCCCCCATTAAAGTTGCATAAAACCCGACCTGACCTGGTTTGGCTAGCGCTTCGCTTATCAAGTATGGTCGTAGCATATTGGAACGCAATTCCTGCAGATGTCGTGATGACAACGACGGTGAAAAATTCCACTATAGACTTGACGCTCTGGGTCTGAAGTTTAAAGTTTTCCCTTTCATGTCTTAAAATTTTGTTCGTCCATTATGGCCTACTCTTGTTTAGCTCATTTTAAATTACATCTTAATATTATCTAGGAAATTCGGTAAGCTTGTCTTCTCCTGTTTCCTTTCCTTTACTGACACTACTGTTTTCTTTTATTCTTCACGTGGCCAGCACAGCGGGGACAGCCAGAGCAGGGCACCTGGACATTCTTTGGTTGATGACGTGAATCGTGTGGCTGAGTTGGCTCTCCTTCGGCACATCAAAGAAAGAGTTCCCTGTCAGATAAACGACGTTTTCGAAAGTGAAATATTTAGGTTACTTCCCATCGTTTCAGACCCAATTAACCTTAAACTTGAGCTCCGATTTGTCCTGGACAGTGTCCAAAATCTGCAGCATGTATTGAAAACGGTCTCCAGTAGACTGCGCCCGTCTGGTTTCCTTTCAATTTGCATCAAAAAGACAGGATAAACCCGTGCTTGTTCGATCTTCAGCGAGTCCTCGAACGCATTGTTGGCCAAGTGCGATGAACTCCGCAAAACTTAATAACAAAAACCGCACCATACCCTGGACAATCAATGGCCATCCACGTATACCGCATCGGTAGTTCCTACGCAAAGCAAAAGGCAGGAATAAGTAAAAGAATTAGGCAAGAACTGGCACGAAACTAATTCAGTATAGCAGCAGGTTTGATGATAAATTACATTAGAGGAATACTGTAAACGGAATATAGGTATTAGTTGGAAGGAAGAAATGGGTTCGTGCTGCCACACAAGCTCAACCAATTGCTTTATACACCACTAAACGTTATGTTTCGTGACCATGTGATCCGGGAGCGATGTCCAGTGCTATTTTCATAGCACTGTCATTTTTATAGCACTAGCGCCAGCATAATTTTAATTAAAATCCCACAAGAGCGCGGTTATGCGATGCTGAGTATTGGTCTGGTGCGGTGGACGCTGGATGGGCACTGGAAGCGCCTTTTGTAAACTTTTCACAGGCATTTGACTTGCTGCCCCACTTACGGCTATCGTGACATGGGAACTTCTATGCTGCATCTGGTCGCTCTCTGCACCAGGCGTTTGCATTCATTGGGTAAGAACAGCCTATACGTGGGGGCCGATGCCTATCCCTTAGGCAACTATCCTCAGATAGTACCGCAAGGCTCAATACTTTTCCTTCACCATCAATTCTAATTACTTACGCGCGGAGCTTGTGCTACCGTATATATTGTTTGCCGATGAATAAAGCTGTGGAAAATTGTAGATGCTACTGTTGTCATTACAGTTATTCCGCGTGCGTTGCATAGAAGCCAAGGCTTGTCCACTTTATTGCTACTGCTCACATATTGATCAAGGTGCATTTTCCACCGAATTGGAAGAAGTTGTCTACACTAGAGGCACTTAGTGGGTGGGGGCGTACTCCACTATGTATCCAAACACTTATTTAGGCGTCATATACTCGTGAACTTTACACTCGGGCGACGACTGGAGGTAGGCAAGACGTGGAGGTTCCAGCATGGTTTGGTTACCACCCCGTTCCATGGGAATATTGGCGGCCGGCATAATGGTACAACAGTCCGCTTCTATCCCTCGGCCGTTCCGTTTTATCTGGGACCAAATGAAGCTGGAGAAGTACGTA